GCTACTCAATTAGCTACTTAAGCAGAAGCTTCAGTTGCTGATGCAAATAGAACATTAGAATTAACTATTGTAGAAGTCTAAAAATTAAGGAAAGAACATTTAGTTGAAATTAAAAGTTTAGGATCTCCACCTAATGCAGTTAAAGTTACATTAGCTGGTGTTGTTATTTTAATGCAAGAGTATATTAAATAAAATGGAGGTGAAATTATTTTAACAATCAAAGAAGGATAAATAGGGGGTAAAAAAGAAGAAAACTTTTTTGAAACTGCAAGAAAATATTTATTAAGTGATCCATAAAAATTATTAGATTAATTATTAAAATATGATAAGGATTCTACTAATCCTGCACATATTAAAAAATTAGAAGAAAAAGTTATTCCTTAACCTGAGTTTAATATAGACGCTGTTAAAAATTGTTCTTTTGCTACTAAATTCTTATATATGTGGGTGAAAGCTATGTATGATTATTATAGAGTATATACTGAAACTAAACCCCTTAGAGATTAATTAGTTGCAATGAGAAAAATAGTGGAGGAAAAAACTGCTGAACTCAAAATTAAGAAGGAAGAATTAGAAAGAGTTAATGCTAAAATAAGAGAATTAGAAGAAATGTATAATCAAAAAATATTAGAAAAAGAAGATTTATAAAACAAAATGAAAGAATGCGAAATAAAATTAGAGAGAGCATAGAAATTAACTGAAGGATTATCTGAAGAAAAAGAAAGATGGGGAAGAGATATTAAATCTTTATAAGCAAAAGTAGAATTATTACCTGGTGATTCAATTGTAGCAGCTGGTATGGTTGCTTATTCTGGTCCTTTTACTTCTCATTATAGAACTTCTATGGAAGGAGATTGGGTTTTGAAATTAGGAGTGGTTGGAGTTGCTCATTCTGAAGGTGTTACTATGAGATAGTTTTTAGGAGATGGAGTTAAAATATAAGCATGGAATATTGCTGGTTTACCTAAAGATGATACCTCTACTGAAAATGGTATTATCATTGACAAAAGTAGAAGATGGTGTTTAATGATTGATCCTTAAAATTAAGCTAACAAATTTATTAAAAATATGGGAAGAGATAATACTGAAGGAATTGATGTTGTTAAAATATCAGATATTAATTTAATGAGAACTCTAGAATTAGCCATCTAATTTGGAAAATGGGTTCTATTAGAAAATGTTGGCAGAGAATTAGATCCTTCTCTAGAACCTATTCTCAATCAATAATTGGTTAAATCAGGTACATCATATACTATCACTATTGGAGATAAATAATTAACTTATAATGAAAAATTCAAATTGTATCTTACAACAACTATTCCTAATCCTCATTATTCTCCAGAGACATTTGTTAAAGTCACTATCATCAATTTTGCCATCACAGCTAGTGGATTAGAAGAACAAATGCTTGCTTAAATTGTGGCTCTCGAAAATCCTGCTCTTGAATAAAAGAAAATTGAAATCGTTAAGAAAAATGCTGCTGATAAAAAATAATTGCTAGCCATTGAGGATTCTATTCTTAAATCTCTTTCAGATCAAAAAGGAGATATCTCTGAAATACTATTAGATGAAACACTTATTAACAAATTATAAACCAGTAAAAGATTTGCTGCTGAAATCAATTAAAGAGTCAAAGACTCCAAAATTACAGAAGCATAAATTGATGAAGTAAGAGAATCATATAGACCTGTTGCATTTAGATCTTCCCTTCTATTCTTCTGTATCACTGATCTTGCAAATATTGATCCTATGTATTAATACTCATTATAATGGTTTACCAAATTATTCGTATTGGGAGTCGAAAATGCCTAACCTTCCTCTGTTATTGAAGAAAGACTTAAAAACTTGAATGACTACTTCACTTATTCACTTTATGAAAATATATGTAGATCATTATTTGAAAGACACAAATTATTGTTTTCATTTATGCTTTGTGTCAAAATTTTACAAGGAGCACAAATGATGGATGATAAATAATGGAGATACCTTCTTGCAGGTCCTTAAGGCGATATTAAGATTGCCCATAATCCTACAGCCTGGATTTCTGATAATGCTTGGCCTGATATCTATAGATAGATTAAGGGAATGTCAGCTCTTGATGCATTTAAGGGATTTGATCAATTTTTTATTGATAATACAGATTTGTTTAAAGGAATTTGGGACTCTTCATAACCTTAAAAGGAATAATTACCAGAACCCTGGTAAGGGCAATTAACTTAGTTTGAAAAATTAATCTTCTTAAAAGCTCTCAGACCTGATAAATTAGTGCCTGCTGTTTAAGATTATATTGATTAATAATTAAATCCTAAATTTACAATTCCACCTACATTTGATTTAGAGAAATGTTATAAGGATTCATCACCAATGTCTCCTTTAATTTTTGTATTATCAGCAGGTAGTGATCCAGTGGCAGACTTTTTAAAATTTGCTGATGAATAAAATATGGCTAAAAGATTTGATTCTATATCTTTAGGATAAGGTTAAGGGCCGAAGGCAGAAAGAATGGTAAAAGATGCAATTCAAAGAGGAGGTTGGGTACTTTTGTAAAATTGTCACTTAGCTATTTCATGGATGAATGATTTGGAAAGAATTTGCGAAGAATTAAATGAAAATATACACAAAGATTTTAGATTATGGCTAACTTCAATGCCTTCAAATTCATTCCCAATTCCTGTTTTATAAAATTCAGTTAAAATGACAATAGAACCACCATAAGGAATTAGAGCTAATTTAATGAGAACATATAAAAATTTAGATGATAAAGAATTAAGTGATTGTACAAAATAAGACATTTTTAAAAAACTACTTTTTGGTTTTTGTCTTTTCCATGCAATCATTTAAGATAGGAGAAAATTTGGTGCTATTGGATGGAATATTCCATATGAATTTACAAATGAAGATTTGACAGTCTGTAAAAGATAATTAAAAATGTTATTAGATGAATATGATAAAGTTCCATATAAGGTAATTTAATATTTAGGAGCTGAAATTAATTATGGAGGTAGAGTTACTGATGATAAAGATGTACGATTGATAAAGACTATTATTAAAAAATACATTTGTCATGAAGCATTAAGAGATGGATATAAATTTTCTGAATCAGGAATCTATGTTTCTTTAGCTTCAACTAATTAGGAAGGATATTTAAACTATATTGAATAACTTCCTTTAAATCCTGATCCAGAAGCATTTGGAATGCATGAAAATGCTGAAATTACTAATTCTTAGAATACAACAAGAGTTTTATTAGAAACTGTACTTTCAATTTAACCAAGATAATCATCTGGCACTGGTAAATCAAGAGAAGAAACTATTGAAGAAATAGCTACATTTGTTTAAAGTAGAACACCTGAAGTTTTACCATTTGATGATATCTTTAAGAAATATCCTACCTCTTATGAAGAATCTATGAATACTGTTTTAGTCTAAGAAGTTATAAGATATAATAGATTATTGGCAACAATGAAAGAGTCCTTGATTAATGTTAAAAAAGCATTGAAAGGTCAGATTGTCATGTCTGATGAACTTGAAAGTCTTGCAAATTCACTCTTCGATAATTAGGTTCCACTTATGTGGGCTGATAAAGGATTTCTCTCTTTAAAACCTCTCTCTAGTTGGACTAATGATTTATCAGCACGAATTAATTTCCTTCAATCTTGGATCGACAATGGAACTCCTAAAGTCTTTTGGATTAGTGGTAATTTATTATCTTTAAATATATAAGGTTTCTTTTTCCCTTAAGCATTTCTTACTGGATCATTATAGAATTATGCAAGAAGACATGTTATTGCTATTGATAAACTAAATTATGAATTTAAAATTCTTGATACTCTTTCTCCTTAAGATATAGATGAGAAACCTGAAGATGGTTGCTATGTTTTTGGCATCTCATTAGAAGGAATTAGATGGGATTACAAAAAGCATTATATTACTCATCCAAGACCAAAAGAATTATATTCAGAATTACCATTAGTTTGGTTATTACCTTGTATTGAAAAAGAATACCCAAAAGATCTAGTTATTTATTAGTGTCCACTTTATAAAGTTGTTTCTAGGTAAATTATGATATTTATTATATAAAGAGCTGGAACATTGAGTACCACTGGACATTCAACTAACTTTGTCACTTTTCTTGAACTACCATCCAAAGATTCTGAAGAATAATGGATAAGAGCTGGTGCTGCTGCATTCTTATCATTAAGATATTGAATGATTTAGAAACAGATATCATTTTATTAAAAATTATTCTATCAATTTTATTCTTAATTTCTAGATTAAATAATGCAATATCAATTCGTTATAATCCATGACATAACATACGTAAAATAAATATGGTAATTATAATTTCTGCTATTATAATAACCATAATTTTTTATTTATAAATAATCACCTTAAATGAATAGTAATTATCGAAATCCACTTAATCCTATCTACGTTTGTTAGCAAAAAATTCCAGAAACTTCAGTCTAAATGTTTAGTTGATAAAAAAAACACTTTAATTCCTTCCCTTTCTTATTTATTGTAAGTTTCTGATACAAAAAGGTTAGAATCTGATGAAAATTTGACTGAAAAAAAACTCATTAAAAACTATCAAATATTGATTAAATGATTATTAAAATAATTAGTAATTCATATACATATTTTATAAGACTAGAATCACAAAAATTCTATTATTGCCTTTATTATTATATAATACAAATTATTAAGACTTTTTCTAAATATGCAGAAAGAAAAATTCAAAGTATTTGAGAATGGAATGATAGTTTATTCTCAGTCAAATAAAAAACTTTTAATTTATCATCAATATATTTGATATTAATAAGTTAAATCTTTTAATTTATCAAACTGAAGATAAAATATATTAATTCAAATTTCAACATTATGAGATAATAACTCTTATAGATAAAAGAGCACTAGGATCATTATTGCTCTCTAATTACTCTTTTTATAAGTAAATTATCAACAAAACTATTTTATATTATATTAAACTTTAGATAAATAACGCTATATTCTATATTGATATTGATATATTAATATGATTTATGTCTCAGAAACACTTTCTGTGAACAATGGTTGGGCCGCTTTCGTCGTATTCGCTTCTTGTAATCCACATGGCTTAAAATGTAGATAATGATGATAAAATAGATCCTCCAATCCAAACTGAGAATTTTCTTTCAGGTGGTGCAACAACTTTAATTTTCATGGATGATGGTGCAAGTGATGTTAACTCCTTGCTCAATCTTTCTGGGATTCCTGGGAACATAGTAGTACCTCCAGACATGACAACATTTCCATAACTAAGATATAAATTTAAATAATTTACAGATCTTTTCTAACATCAATATCGCACTTCATGATAGATTTGAATGTTAATTCATGGATACCTGATACTTCAAGACCAATGAAATTTGGTTTGAAGAGTAATTCAGGACATCTGAATCTTTAATTTTA